AAATGGCGCGCAATGCGATTCCACAAGCAACTTCAGCCATGCCAGAACCTGTGCAAACTGAGCCAATCTCGACGGGTTCGATCTGTTGAAGGGAGAAGTCGTGGAAGGCTTTGCGTAGCTGTGGCTCAGCCTCCAAGAGACTATCTACCATCTTGTACCCCACATTCACAAGAAAAGTCTCCGGGTTGAAATCCTCTCCTTCATGCCCATCCTCATCCTCGTCCCCATCCAAATCCACCTTGTCATTGGAAGCAGCAGGCGCAGCAGGAGAATCATGATCATCCCGAGCACCCACTCCATCCTGATCGCTCACCTCACCTCCCGACAAGTTTGGACCATGGAATGGCAGGAGCACCCCTGGTCAAACAACGGCAACCAAAACAAAATCGGACAACAGAGTTCAGAAACACACCCCAACACGCTTGCCTTCTTTGTGCCACATGTGTCTACCATTTCCTCGGTCGTCATGAGGTCCTCCAATTCTTCAGTAAGCGTCTTCTGGACGTGTGGACACAACGAATTCGAAGTGGAAACATCTGGACGACTCAGAGCAGGCTTCTCAGGTTGAGCAGCAGCAACTGAATCATCATGCCCCCTGGCTCGTTTGGTGCTTGAATCTGGTTCTGGTGCCACACTGGCCAGTACCTGCTTGCTAGCTGCCGGTCGCTTCATGCTTCTCACCATGGGCCAATGGGTGAAACGCCAATGTTTTGCAAAAGGAGCGTCTCGCAGCGTTTAATTATCATAATGAATCATATCGAATCATATATATGATGTGTGATGACTTACATTGTCACATTGTCAGCGAGTCATGTAACTCCCAACAGTCTCAGTACACAAGCCCGAAAAATCAAAGTTCAATGCATCAGTGTGTTTGGCAGCTGCATGCTGCAACTCACACTATAACTCAACTCTGAAAATCTCAGTTTTCCCTCAACTTTCCATCCTTTGGTCAAGTCAACGCATCACACTATAGTAGATGATGCGACAGAGGCAGCCCGCAGCCTCAACGAATCCCCGTATTGGGAAAGTGTTGGCTATGTAAGACTCACAGACTCACAAATAACAAATGAATTAAAGCAACTAATGTCAATGTCCAATGGCAATGGGCCATTGGGAAAGGCAATACCGTTTCCGGCTATACCTTTTAGAAATCTTGGGAACAAAGCCCAGAGAAGCACTAAGCAGGACCCTGTGCGAAAGATTCGGGCAAACAAACCAGGAAAAGGTGATCAGCGATCAGTCATCATGTGATTCTGAACACATAAAAAGAATCAAGCCCTTTTGGTTTGGTCTGCTCAGCTTGTAAATCACAGAAACTGCAGTAACTCACTTCTTGCCCTCAGCCCTCGAAACAAATTTTGTCGCCGCAGTGACAAGAGACTCAGGAGCTTTGAGGTCATGCTGCTTGATCATATCTTTGGCGGTCTTGAGGATGTTGGCTATCTTTGTGTAGCCGGGTGTGGTAGTATCAAGCTTGCATGCACTCTCAAACCCTTTGGACTTGAGTGTTCTTGCAAGCAAGCCTGTGACCATTGCATTCCGAGCAGCCTTCAGCAATGCATGGTCCTCCTCTGTCACCATGGTCTCTACCCCAAGGAGCTTGCCAACAGCTGTCACCTTCGTGAGACAAGCACCCAGGAGTTCAATTGCTTTGGTAGGCTCTTTCTGCGCCATTGCAACATAGTCACCATGTGTATCCTCAGAGTAATCACCCGTTGGAATTTTATCTGCATCTACTTCCTTCTTGCACTTCTGGACAAAGGCCACTGCATCTGAGCGAAGGGTGTTGACCTTGGACTCAAAATCTATTCCACATGATTCAATATTATGATGATCTGAATCTGAAACTTTGACTATTGATTGATTCAATATGATTCATTTATTTATGATATGATATCAATATCATTCTGATATTCTGTCCTGGACAATGGCCATGGGACCAGCATATCATGTCATATGGGCATACAAAAAAGGACTGTAGGCACAGCTAAGTAGCAATCTTGGACTGGTTTTCAAATACACAATTGATCACCGCATCGTAGTGAAGTCGATAACTGTCCATCTTTGCCTTCTCCATGTGATCGTTCTGCAGGATAACATCCCACAAGTGAGACTTGGATTCCAAGTATGGAGATTCTAACATATCCCCCCATGTCTTGACCGCTGCCAAAGCTCTCTTCACCTCGGGACGAATGGCAGCTGACTCCGAATCATCCACCCTCCACTTGTCCAAACTGCCATTCCCGTAGGCTTCCATCATGTCGATGAGTTTCTGCCAAAAGCGGGCAGCTTCCACAAAACGCCGCTCAAAGGAGTCTGCTGCCGACGAAGATGCAAGCAGTTCCAATTGTCCAATGATCTTGTCACTCTGCTCAAGCTCTTTTGATCCGTCCTCCTCCTCTGCTAATGATGCCAATAGTTTTCGCTGCAGTTCAGGAAGTAGCTCAGTGAAAGCTCCTGCGCTCATGCCATCCCTCAGCTTGGCAGTAGAGTCGGTGAACTTTGACACTGCCTGCTTGAAACTGTCAGAACTGGACATAGTATCCATGGATTGGACTGCAGCTTGCCATTCCTGGAGTTCCCGAGAGAAGGCAGAGACATCCTCCGGCTTTGGCAGGTGCCGCACCAAATTCACAAGAGTCGTGTGGCACCTGCCAATAACCAATAGCAATAATGTGGCATGCCATTGAAACAATAGTACAGATTGACATTATTATAGTTTAATAGTCATATATAATTGTAATAGTCATAGAGTCATAGAGTCATATGAGTCATAGTCATAGTATGTACTGTAATTACTGTATAAAGTATGTTTTTATGCTCCCTGCCTTCGAAGAATGCATAGTAAGGTTTTCTCCTTGCTTCCAGCTGCTGCCTGGGCGCTATCCATTAGCGCCATGATGGGCCATTCAGGAAAGGATGGTGGCTCTTTGCCGTCTGCCATTTGCAAAGAACAAAGATCCAATAATGCACTGAGATCTACCTGGCAGTGTTGCTGGACAGCCACCTGGATGAGTGGAACGAAGCATTCCTGGTAGACAGAGTCAACAACCTTCTTGGGCGCATTGGCTTTGCGTAGCAGCGCACACTCTGAAAGCAATGATTTCAGGTTGGAAAAGAACTCATTCGGCAATGATGAGGAGGTACCCACATACTCATCTTTCATTTTGCCAGCGTTCTGTTTCAATGCAGCCAGCTTCCGCAACTCCTCATTCTCACCGTTGGCTTTTTTGGCCTTCTCCTCTGCCAGCGCAATGGCTGCCACTCCTCACAGCTTCAACAGAAGATAACTACATGTCATGTGAGAAGAAACAGAAGAAAACTACATGGGAAACTCGAATCAAGTCAAATCAAAATTATATGTGCCCCTGTCCTTGTGGTAGCGAATTGAAGATCGCATAGATCTTATTCTCCACTGTGCCCTGCCGGACTGCTGCAATGTCCACCAAAACATTGCTTGGCATAGTCCATCCATCAAAATCAAATATGCGATCCAATGTAACAACCTGAGTGAAGGTTGGCAATCCGATGGAAAGGTCTTCATCCGTTGATGCGATCCTGTGCAGGAATCCTGTCAAAGGCTTCATGCTGGAGATAGTGACCTGCCGTTGTGACAGTCAATAATGCTGTCCCTAAACTTTCTTAACACACACACACACCAAACATTCAAAAACTGCACCTCTGGTTTTGCAACAGCTGGTGTGCCTTGGCAGAGTTGAGAGCTCTCGTAAGCGTTTGCAGTAGCTGCTCCATGGAGATATCCATGAAGCTTTCCAACATGCAGGTTGGTGCCATTTTTGAGAGCATCACAACCACTGGGCCCTCTCCCCGGAAGAATGAGACAAGGTTGTCGAGCTTTTGGAATCGCAAATCTTCCATGAGTTCTGCCTGGGAATATGGAGTTCACTTCAAAAATGAACATATAGAAGTGAAATACTGATTCCATTGCTAGTGACATTTCGTTATGATGACATCGTATGACTACTTTTCATCTTTTCATATCATATCATTTCATTTCATATGACTTATGACTCATGTGTGTGTGAGAGAGAGATCGCGAGTTCGTCAAACAAAATCGGCCTTGGCTTTCTTTATCCAGCATGGCTCTCCAAAGCTCACACCAAACTCGTCAGTGGCCCGCTCCATGTGAGTCAAAGAACCCAGAGAAGGATTGTTGGAAGCCAAATCCTTCGCGATGTTGGTCAAGATGGTTGCCTGCTCTGAGATACCAATAAAGGCTTCAGACGGGTTGTCCATTCGGGTTCTCCTCTTCGCAGACTTCTTCTTGTCCTTGATTGATGCAGCAATCTTCTTCAGCTCAGCATGTGCGTTTGACCAAAAAGTTCGAAACTCATTTGATGTATCCGCCACGGTCAACTGTCCAAATGAAGATGTGATCTTGTGAAGATCAGCCTCAAACTTCTTGATCTGGATCCGATCGGCCTTCTCATCGGTAGTAGTACCATCAGTGCCATTGCCTTTCTTGGTCTTGCCTTGTTTGGGCTTGGGCTTGGGCTTGGGCTTGGCCGCAGGGTTTCTGGTTGGATCAGAAGGTCCGGACGTACTTGTTGGCATAGGAGCACTTGATGGCCCAGTCTTCCTTTTTTCGCAATCACTGTGCCAAAGCCTCCGTCCATGTCCTCATCAGACAAGTCCATTTCCATCACATCCATCGGATGAGGCACAGCAGGTGGATCAGCTTCCCCGATCCCTCCACCACATGATGGTTTTCCTGGACGGCTCTCCGGTAAGTCAATGCCCATCATAGTTTTCACCTTCTGTCTATGTGAGCCTGTCACAGGTGAAAACACAACAGGTGCTGGTGTAAAACTGTAATGAGTCATGAGTCCTAAGTTAATAAGTGGAGTCATTCACAATTTACATAGATCTATGGTCTATGATTCAGTCTATGATCTATAGTCTATGTCAAGTAAATAAATAGATCTGAATGAATAATAAGTCGGATTGTAAAAAGCGGATCATGTTGGAAACCATACCTTGCTCATCATCAAGCTCATCAAGCATGGCTGCCAAAGAAAAGCAACTGTCTGTGTTGACAATGTCTGAGTAGCTCCCCAGCTCAGACTTGGCCAACTCCACATGGTGCAGTACATGTTGGTTCTCGCGAAGGTCAAAGTCTTCACTTGTCTCGGTTTTGGTAGATGTCACTGCCTTTGTCTCCGAATTCTTGACTTTCCACCAACCCTCAGGCCCCGTAGAGACCAAGATGCCTTTCATCTCAACTCCCCCAAAGGTCTTTGTGATGATCTTCTCCGCAGGCGGTGCCTTTTTGAGCTTCTTCAGCTCCACAAAGTACTGCTGCGGTGCTTCGAGTTCTTCCTTCTGTTCATGGGATACTTGATGAGCCACTTGCGGACGCAACTCATCTCTGGAACGAATTCGCGCGTGGGGGTCCATGTTCTTCTTGTGGGTCCAAAGCTTGGTGGCTGTCATCCTGAGTGTGGTTAGTGTAGTGTCTTGTCTTAGGTCAGGTCCAACGCACTTGAACAAACTGGAGCCAACAACTGGGCACAAGACAGCTCTTGGTTCTTGACAGGGTCGTTGTGGATAATCGTCGCATACTCTGTGATGCTTCCATACTGGAACTGAAATCCAATGCTGAAGACATTTGTGCAAATCCTTGGCAAATTTATAGGTTAGCATCGCCACAGCCGCATACAATCGCGGAACAAAACACATGAATCTATCAAATTTATAGTTATGTTTATCATTTATAGTCTAGTCATCATCTAGTCTATTGTTATATTACAATATTTACTTAGATATGATATAGTCTATAGTCTACAGTCTATCCCAGGACTTGGTGAAACTAAAACATGAAGGAAGTGCAATCTAGAGAATCTTGAGCTCCTGGGCCGTCTCGTCTGACTCGATCATCAGCCTAAGTCAAGGCCAAAGAAAAATAGAAAGTTGTAGAATGTAGGTAGGGTCATAGTCTATAGTCATATGGCCATGGTCCTGGTCATAAAGCAGTATATATATTATATATCAGTTAACAGTTTATCTTTACTGATCATATATTGTAGTCTAGTGTTTATATACGACATAACTACTACTACATAAAACATATGTTTATTTGGTTGTTCCTTTAAGATGCATTGCACGCCGCCTGCAAGACTGTATGACTGGACTCTGTATGGCCGCGCGTCTTTGTATAGGAATATAATAGTAGTAATTTAGTAATGAGTAATGAGTAGTAGTCAGAGTCATATTAGTCATGAGTCATAGTCATAATTATAATCTATTCATAGTCATGGTCCATGGCAGTCATTGTCGTACTTAGTCTATGAGTTTATGAATTTATAAGTTATAGATTTATAATAGATTAATAAGTCCATAATTCTGATGATGCATGTCTTGCTCTTCTCGGGAGCCTTTCTTAGTTGGTAGTTAGTAGTTGTAGTTGTAGTCAGCCACCATATTCCCGTCCAAACACTCAAAGCCAAGAATCTTTAGGAAACGTGGCGCTTCCTCACCCAGCCCAAGCATTTGCAGTGCAAGCCCTCGCTGCCAGCCGTCCCAGAGATTGCAAACTGAATCCCTCACCTGTGGAATGGGGTTCTCATTCCAACTCCTCTTTCTTTACTTGGCTACTGGGAAATTAGAACAGTTTTTCTGAAAGAAACAAGTATCTGATCTGAGCATCTGATATCTGAATAAACAAACGCGGCAAAATAGAATGCTCACAGCAAATTCAACCAGTTGCCTTCTGAACATGGGACGCACAGCTTTCAAACCAGTAAGCGCAGGAGCCCGATGAATACTGCGCAGGACAAGTTGCTGCCGCCATTGATTTGTCACATCGCCCGAACCTTGCAAAACGACATCATAGCATGTCCCCTTCCCTGGGCCTCCCCTGGTTAAAAGCCAGATTTAGTTAAATTTAAAGAAAACACCACTGTGCCAAGGAACGCTGCCCTTGCCATTGCATTGCCTGTCCAGATCTTGTGGGTGCCCTTGCCCTTCAATTTCCCTTCCTTGAAATGATGTTGAACAGAAAAAACACAGGCTACAATCAATGAAAAGTTGAAAGCAAACACAGAAGAAACAAGCAAAACAATAGGCTATGCGCCCACAAAACATTCTCCACAAATTTACCATCCAAAACCTTTGCCAACGCTAAACAAGACAAATCTCTCCAAGAAGATCTCCTTTCCGTACAGCGGTCAAAGCGTTGTACTTCTCCACAGCCTTTTTGTTATTCTGCCGGATCTTCTTGATTTGAGCTTTGCTCTTACTAACTTCACTCCAGACTGTGCGGATATTGGGAAACGCTGTGCCCCACGCTGTCCCACCTGGCGCAGTTCCCGCCCAATAAAAAACGCATCCGATTAAATCAAATTTGTTTAGGGCTGTGCCCATCCACACCGTGCCCCACCCACACCTACCTCCGTCATGTTCAAAACAATCAAAACCCATCAAAAAGAACAAAAATGGATCAAAATCAATGAAAAACATGAAAAATCAATCGAAAACTATCAAAACGGATGAAAATCAATGAAAATCCATCGAAAACAATGAAAAACAACAAAAACCATGTAAAAAACAATCAAAACCAACAAAAAACATGAAAAACGCACAGAATCAACAAAAAACATGAAAAGTCAACCGACAATCCACAAATATACAAAACAAAACGAAAAATTGACAAAAAGTGCCAAAAAACAGAAGAAAAGCAAAGGAAAAACAAAAGGAACAGTCGAGGAACGGTCGAGGAACAGTCGAGGAACAGTCGAGGAAAAGTCGAGGAACAGTCGAGGCGCTACTTTTCCGCTACTGTTCCTCTACTTTTCCTTTGCTTGTCCTCTGCTTTTGTGCACTTCTTGTCAAGTGTCCGTTGTGTTTTGTATATTTTGTTGATTTTCGGTTGATTTTTCATGTTTTTGGTTGATTCTGTGCGTTTTTCATGTTTTTTGTTGGTTTTGATTGTTTTTTACATGTTTTTTGTTGTTTTTCATTGTTTTCGATTGATTTTCATTGATTTTCATCCGTTTTAATAGTTTTCGATTGATTTTTCATGTTTCTCATTGATTTTGATCCATTTTTGTTCTTTTTGATAGGTTTTGATTGTTTTGAACATGACAGAGGTAGGTGTGGCTGGGACAGAGTGTGGAGGGCGCTGATTCGAACCAATTCCTATCTCCTCCGATTCTGCCAGCATGAGCGGGGCCAAAACCTTGCCCGGAGTGAAGTTAGCATTTGCTCTTCTTCGCATGACGGGCAAACCTGATGGGCAACCAACAGGATTTGTTTTTCCGCAAACAACTTGAACGAACAGCAAAATGCAAACACACTGGATGGGGCCAAGCTTTCACCCTTTGCACTTGGGTAGACTTTGTAAGCCCTGCCTGAGGATAAGTAAGCGTGAATCTGAACACCGCCGTCGTTCTCTCAAAGGAGGTGGCGCTTGCCCTTCTATGTCAGCGTCCAAGCTGTCCAATTCCGCTATTGCGCTTGCAATGGAACTCATGCATGCAAGACTGGCGGCTGCCTATTTGTAAGAATAAGAATTGAAACAGTCAGTGCCAGTGTCAGTAGTTGGCTGCTATGGGCTACTGGACGGTTTTTGAATGACAATGGTGAGAATCAGTTGAAACAATTGATTAGATACAGCAGGCCATCTTGCAAATCAACAACACCATGCATGTTTGATTCATGTCCTTTGCCTCTGGGTGTTTGCCTTTCCCACAGTTGCTTTCCGCAACAGGTAGTTTTCTGTGTTGACATCCAAGCAAAATGCGGTGCCAGCAATCGAACAGCAACTGAACTCGCAAACTGACAGCGTTGGTGTTTCTGCATGGGATGTGACAGTGTGCTAGTGGGAGACTGAGATATGATCTGAGATAAGAACATTTGCTCACATACAATATAAAAATAGTTAACATATTACGTTTCATCGTTTCACACCCTGACTGCAGAATTCAAGAACCTGAATACTGACTTACTAAAGAACATTGTAAAATTGTCCAGAATTTCCAGCGCAGCTGCCTGAAACTGCTGTTGTTTCACCAACTCCACCGTACCTGCCTATGCACCTCCACGCCGTACCTGTACCTGTCGTTAGCTGTGCCCCACCTATGCTCCCCGCACCCGTACCCGCCCCCCACCTATGCACCCCACAACCCGTACCCGTCCCCCACCTATGCACCCCAAAACCCGTACCCGTCCCCTACCTATGCACCCCACAACCCGCCCCCGCCCCCATCTGTGCCCCCCCGTACCCGTACCTTGACGTGGCCATACCTATAGAGACCCCCTGTAGTATTGGTCTTGAATTTACAGAAAAAATACATGTTTAACAAATCCAAAGGAATGAACAACCCTGCAATCTTCTTACTGTTACTAGTAGTAAGGCACCTGTTACTACTAGCGTGGCACCTGTTACAACCAGCGTGGCACCTGTTACTACTAGCGTCCTTGTTACTTCTAGTAAGGCACCTGTTACTAGTAGTAAGGCACCTGTTACTACAAGCGCGGCACCTGTTACAACTGGCGTCCTTGTCACTGCTAGTGAGGCACCTGGCACTTGTTACTACTAGCGTGGCACCTGCTACTGCAAGCGTCCTTGTTACTACTGGTAAGGCACCTGTTACTTGTAGTAAGGCACCTGCTACTACTAGCGTGGCACCTGTCACTACACTAGCGTGGCACCTGTTACAACTAGCGTGGCACCTGTTACTACTAGCGTGGCACCTGTTACTTCTAGCGTGGCACCTGTTACTACTAGCGTCCTTGTTACTGCTAGTAAGGCACCTGTTACTACTAGCGTGGCACCTGTTACTACGAGCGTGGCACCTGTTACTACCAGCGTGGCACCTGTTCCTACTAGCGTGGCACCTGTTACCACTAGCGTGGCACCTGTCACTACTAGCGTCGCACCTGTTACTGCCAGCATCCTTGCTACAACTAGTAAGGGGCCTGTTACTGCTAGTAAGGCACCTGTTTCTAGTGGTAAGGCACCTGTTACTACTAGCGTGGCACCTGTTACAACCAGCGTGGCACCTGTTACTACTAGCGTGGCACCTGTTTCTAGTAGCAAGGCACCTGTTACTGGTAGAAAGGCACCCATTACTACCAGCGTGGATGTGTTACTACTAGCGTGGCACCTGTTACTAGTAAGACACCTGCATGACAACATGGCCACCTGCCTATGTGTGTGTCCAATGGCTTGTGTGCCTATCCGGGGGCACTGTAAGTAGCTCCTGGTGCCTTAGCCCACTGAACTGCGCATTTCTTTGGGTGCGCACCCGGCCGTGGGGGTGGGTCATGTTCTTCGCTTCCATCTGCCTTTGTCTTCTTTGTTTCTTGTGACCAGGGACTAATTGGACAGCCTGCGAGGCACCAGGGGGGCATCAGAGAGGCACCAGGGGGGCATCAGGGAAGCAGGAAAGGACCATTTGGGAGGCAGGAAAGGACTAATTGGACAGCCTGCT